AATATTTTTGAGGATGATCATAATGACGTTCACCCATTGATCAAAAATATCGCGAAGAATATAAGAGAGTTTGATTTTCAATTCTCCAAAGATACAGTCAAGACAGCTAAAACAATTTATCGAACAGTCATGGAAGAAAGGATAATGACTCCTACGATAGAGATCAAATGGCCGCAATATAATTGGACTCGTATCTGGTCAAATATTTTGGGAAATTCTGATATCTCAACAAAATGGGTGTCTGCTGTATATAAAGCAATAAATGAAACTTATCCAGTTAACGAAAAACTCAAAGCACATAGGTTAAGAATGAGCGAAGATTGCAATAAATGTAATGTAACTGATAACATATCGCATAGACTAACAATGTGTGGAACAGCTAGAGATGTATGGGAGTGGACAAAGAATAAATTATCTAAAAAATTTGGTTTGTCAATCATGGCCACTGACCTGAAAGATTTGTTCAGTTTTGATATGAGCAATAAACTAGATAGGAAGGTTTGGGTATGGTCAATTTCTGGACTAATATATCAAAATTTTGAGCGTCAAACCCAGTTGGATGAATTTATCAATTTATTAAGGCAAGATAGGTATATCAAGATAAAATCAGGAAAACTAGATACATTTTCCAAGAAAATATTTTATTTTTGATAGGACTTTTCCTACAATGTGCTGTGATACCCTTATTATATATATAATATGTATATAACTCACATATACAGGGTGTTTCCTAATTGAATGTCAATATTTGAGGAGGCGATTCTTGGGCCCATTTTAAGAAGAAAATTTCATATGAACGTATGACCTAAACGTCTTAACTTTTGAGATACAGGGTGGTAAAGTTCTCAAAAATAAATAGTTTTTTATTAATATCTGTAATACCACTTTAAATATTCTAATGAAATTTGGTATACGTGTACTAGGTATCAAGAGGCATCAGTTAGTGTACCACATTTTTTCTTGTTGCCACCAGTGGCGTTCGTATGGAATTTCACATACCTATTTTGGCAGACATTGATGGTACGCCACTGATTAATCTCGAAATTGAAATAATTCTTGAGATTCTCAATCATTTCTAAGCAAATTTGATCTCTACAATTTTTTCAATCTGATGCAGGGTTTTCGCTTAAAAAAAATAAAAACCTTTTCACTGCATGATCATAACAATATCCTTAATATGACAATATCACAATGCAGAGAAATAGATTTTATTTTTTAGGTCAAATTTCAGAAATACAATTCATAGTTTATGAACTTCGTATTCGTACTTGGTATTTTGAAATTATTACTTTTCATTGTAGTAGGCTGTGTCTGTAAGAATTATTAATTCTATGGTCAAGACAGTTGTCATTATTTTGTATGACAGTTCGTCAATTTTCAAATTCAGTTTTTCGCGTCTTATTAATTTAGTGTTTAAAATATTCGAGCATTGTTATTTTGAAAAATAATGGTCGAGTTTACAAATGAGGAGTTGGCAGATATGCATTACATGTATGGTTTGGCTGATGGCAGATCGCCGGAAGCTAAGCGATTGTATCGAGAGCGGTTCCCTAATAGAGTAATACCAGATAGGCGAACATTTGCAAATGTACATAGGAGGTTGACTGAAACAGGTACTTTGCAGGCGAATAATCAATTAAAAGGAGCCCATTGCACTGTAAGAACTCCAGAAATTGAAGAAGCAGTTTTAAATTCCATTGAAGAAAATCCTGAACTGAGTACTAGAAAAATTGGAAATAATCTGAATATCTCGCACGTCCTAGTTTGGAGAATTTTGCACGATTTTCTATTATACCCATACCATATTCAACGGGTCCAAGCGTTACTTCCCCGAGACTTTCCCTTGCGTGTTAATTTTTGTCAATGGTTTCTGGAGAAAATTGCTCATAATCCCTTGTTTGACCGTGAAATAATGTTTACAGATGAAGCTAACTTTTCCAGAAACGCAATCAGAAATTTTCACAATAACCATATTTGGGCAGACGAAAACCCTCACGCAGTTGTAGAATTCAACCATCAAGAACAATTTTCGGTGAATGTCTGGGCTGCAATTGTTGGAAATTACTTAATTGGACCTTTTTTCTTGCCAGAAAGGCTAAACGGCCATAATTATCGCCGGTTTCTAGAGGAGGAATTGTTCATATTGCTAGAAGAAGTACCAGTTTTAATTAGAAACAGAATGTGGTTCATGCATGACGGCGCGCCCGCTCACTTCAGTGTTGCAGCAAGGGAATATTTAAATCACACATTTGAAAATCGATGGGTAGGTCGTGGCGGACCTCAACCATGGCCCCCTAGGTCCCCAGATTTGAATAGTTTGGACTTTTTCTTATGGGGGCATCTTAAAAGTCTGGTTTATCGCAACCCAGTGAACACTCTAGAAGAGCTGAAGGATCGTATAAGAGCTGCATTCGATTTAATAAGAAATACTGGAGGTATACTTCAAAGAGTGCGTGACAATATGAGGAAAAGAGCTGAAGCGTGTATCCTTCAAGGTGGAGGCCATTTTCAACAACTCATCTAGTTTCTATGTTCTATAATTTTGTTAAAATTATTAATGGTAGGTATTGTTTTTAAATAAGAATCGTTTATTAGTTATCTTTTGTTGTTGAAGAATGTTATGTTATTCCATTAAATGTGTAAAAGAAAAGAACAGTCTTCTAACAAAATCATTTAGGTACATAGTGTGGTTGTGGTCACTAATTGGTGACTAAAGACTAGATATTTTCTTGACATCTTTCACAAAAACAAATTATTGAAATTAACCAGTGGCCACCCAATTAACCTATTATCTGTACTTAGACAGTAAGTGGCATGCCATCGACTTTTCTTAAAATAATGAGCAGATTTGATCTCTTGAATTATTTCGGTCCGAATCACGGTTTTCACCTAAAAAATAAAATCTATTTCTCTGCATTGTGGTATTGTCATATTAACGATATTGTTATGATCATGCAGTGAAAAGGTTTTTATTTTTTTTAAGCGAAAACCCTGCATCAGATTGAAAAAATTGTAGAGATCAAATTTGCTTAGAAATGATTGAGAATCTCAAGAATTATTTCAATTTCGAGATTAATCAGTGGCGTACCATCAATGTCTGCCAAAATAGGTACCTATGTGAAATTCCATACGAACGCCACTGGTGGAACCAAAAATTATGTGGTACACCAACTGATGCCTCTTGATACCTAGTACACGTATACCAAATTTCATTAGAATATTTAAAGTGGTATTACAGATATTAATAAAAAACTATTTATTTTTGAGAACTTTACCACCCTGTATCTCAAAAGTTAAGACGTTTAGGTCATACGTTCATATGAAATTTTCTTCTTAAAATGGGCCCAAGAATCGCCTCCTCAAATATTGACATTCAATTAGGAAACACCCTGTATACCTAATAAATTTTATTGTATAGTAGACACTAAAGATACTCTACATTAGTGTTATGGCAGAAAATTCATCTATTTATTTAGTTTAGTTAGTTATGGTATAGTACTCACTCTATACACCAGGTTATATGTTATAATATTATCTATTATGTAAGTGAAATATTTATTTATTTCAGTGTAGTTAATGTATTTTGTTTGATATTCTGTATCATATTTGTTTTTTTTTATGAATAAAGGTTTTGAAAAAAAAAAAAAATTATTTTCGAAAGTCTAATGATTTAACACATGCTGAAAATATAATCTTTCCCAAAATCTCTAGATATGTTTTGATAACTGGAAAGAGTAGGAAAATAATGAACAATGTGGCCTACTTTTTATAAGTGCGCACCAAATTTGACATTTATGTGTGTGAAAATGTAATGGGCACACGAAAATAACTAAAATAATTGACAAATTATTCTACGGAACAAAATCCATCGATAGTTCACCTAATTCAGCTCTAATTAAGTTGAAATTTGAGGAAAACACCTAGATGATCCAGAAAACGGGGTACAGTATAAAATATATTTGGACCAGGAGGACCAGCGAATAAGGTCTAACCTAAAGCGGCGTTCACAACCAAACTTTTTACGTTTCGTATTCTGATTAGTGAAGCAAAATCTGTAATTGAAATGTCGCAAAAAGATGAAAATATCCAGCTTTTTGCGTTGCAAGAAGCCATCGTCTGTGAAAATTGTAGAAATAGACAAATGATATTGTTATAAAAATGGAAAATACTAATATTAGTTCTGATAGAACAATACATGTATGGAACATTCTATATATGGAAGTTGTGAATCTAATCAAAAGTATTCTTTTGATTATTTAGCTTCATTTCAGGATGAAACACAAATGACAAATAAGAACCAAGGCAACTGAGAAAAGCTTAAAAAGTCACGTTGATTTTTTTTGTTTTGAATGGCACTTACATAAGTTCAATTCACGTTCTATTTCAGATTCTGCTTCAACAATCAGAATACGAAACGTAAAAAGCAAAACGTAAAAAGTTTGGTTGTGAACGCCACTTAAAGCTCTCAGCACAACAACACAATATTTTCATTTTCGATTCTAATTATTTTTCTTTTATCGTAATATCCACTTCAACCTCATCATCAGAATTTTCACTACCTATACTCTATAGTGTTTCGATTTGCTTCATCATCATTTCCTGTGGATTATTTAGTATAAAATGTGCGAGATGAGACATAACGCAAGTTTTTCCATCATAAAAATACCACAATCAAAAATTCAAATTCAAATTTTGAGCCAAATCTGCCAATAAAATGTCACTGTAGTGTCCAAACTGTTTGAACTTTTTTCGCTTATTGACCTTGAAACGAACTTTCTGTTATTCCGGCCAATCAGAATCCAAAGCGTTATAAGCTGAAATGCGAAAAGCTGTCATCTGTACCCAGCATATGTCTGTACCAAGTACATGGGGCAACTTGTGTCAACGTGGCAACGTTGTGGAATGTTTCCAAAAGTCAAAACAAACCTGTAAAAATTAAAAAATAAGGTTAGGTTACGTGGCTGTATTTTTGATTCTTTCTTTAACAAAAATCATCAAAAATGAACACATTATATTGCGGATTAATTCTCCTATGTTTCTATATAAATCATAGTGTCGCTTACTTCATCACAGTAGATGCACATGCCGAAGAATGTTTCTTTGATAAAGTGGAAGCTGGCACCAAAATGGGTAAATAAAGTTTTCACATTTTTTCTTTACGGGCAATTTTGAGTATGAATTGTTATTTGCAGGTTTGACATTTGAAATTGCTGAAGGTGGTTTTTTGGACATAGACGTACGTATCGTTGGCCCAGACAGTAAGAATATTTATCAAGGGGAAAGAGAAACATCTGGGAAATACACCTTTGCTGCACACACTCAGGGTGTATACACATACTGTTTCTCCAACAAAATGTCAACTATGACTCCCAAGGTGGTGATGTTCAATATGGCTATTGGAGAATCACCTAAATCTGAGGCACAGGAAGGAGAAAATCCTAATAAAATGGAAGATATGATAAAAGAACTCAGTGGTATGTTCCAAGAGACAATCAACAATTATTTTTACATAATATTGAATATTCATCTAAATTTCAGGTTCTCTTTCTGGTGTTAAACAAGAACAAGAGTATATGCAGCTCAGAGACAGGATTCATAGGTCTATCAATGAAAGCACCAATTCAAGAGTAGTCATGTGGTCATTCTTTGAGGCCCTTATTTTGGTGGCAATGACAATTGGACAGGTTTACTACCTTAAAAGGTTTTTTGAAGTCAGAAGAGTGGTTTGATTCTTTCATCTATTTATTTTTTGTTAACTTTGTAAAATTGTTTTCTTTTTCATTTGTTTCATGTTTCCAATGATAGTGATGGTTCATAAATTTTTTGTAAATAATTTCAGAATAGTAACAATAGATCTGTTACAGGTTTTCATGTCAAAAACATGGCAAAACCAATAATTATTTGATACTGAATAAACTATATAATGATGAAATGAAGTTTCTTCTTGGTTAATAAGACAAAATAATGGTCAATTACATTTAATTAGATACAATTAAATACTATACAACATTTCATATAGGTATTCTGCTAGAGGCCAATTTATCTAAACAAGTGATCTGCATGAATGTTAGCAGCAATTTCAGATTCCCATACTCAAAAGGTTTTTTGAAGTCAGAAGAGTGGTTTGATTCCTCAATCTATTTATTTTTTGTTAACTTTGTAGAATTGTTTTCTTTTTTCATTTGTTTCATGTTTCCAATGATAGTGATGGTTCATAAATTTTTTGTAAATAATTTCAGAATTGTAACAATAGATCTGTTACAGTTTTTTATGTCAAAAACATGGCAAAACCAATAATTATTTGATACTGAATAAACTATAAAATGATGAAATGAAGTTTCTTCTTGGTTAATAAGACAAAATAATGGTCAATTACATTTAATTAGATACAATTAAATACTATACAACATTTCATATAGGTATTCTGCTAGAGGCCAATTTATCTATACAAGTGATCTGCATGAATGTTAGCAGCAATTTCAGATTCCCATACTCAAAAGTTTTTTGAAGTCAGAAGAGTGGTTTGATTCTTAAATCTATTTATTTTTTGTTAACTTTGTAAAATGGTTTTCTTTTTCATTTGTTTCATGTTTCCAATGATAGTGATGGTTCATAATTTTTTTATAAATAATTTCAGAATTGTAACAATAGATCTGTTACAGGTTTTCATGTCAAAAACATGGCAAAACCAATAATTATTTGATACTGAATAAACTATAATATAATGATGAAATGAAGTTTCTTCTTGGTTAATAAGACAAAATAATGGTCAATTACATTTGTTTCATGTTTCCAATGATAGTGATGGTTCATAAATTTTTTAAAAATAATTTCAGAATAGTAACAATAGATCTGTTACAGGTTTTCATGTCAAAAACATGGCAAAACCAATAATCATTTGATACTGAATAAACTATATAATGATGAAATGAAGTTTCTTCTTGGTTAATAAGACACAAGAATGGTCAATTACATTTAATTAGATACAATTAAATACTATACAACATTTCATATAGGTATTCTACTAGAGGCCAATTTATCTATACAAGTGATCTGCATGAATGTTAGCAGCAATCTCAGATTCCCATTTATCTCCATTATTCAAAAGTTTTTCCTTATTGTACAACAACTCCTCATGGGTTTCAGTAGAAAATTCAAAATTGGGCCCTTCAACAATTGCATCTACTGGGCAAGCCTCTTGGCAAAAGCCACAGTAAATACACTTGGTCATATCAATGTCATACCTTGTGGTACGCCTAGAACCATCAGCACGTTCTTCTGCCTCAATAGTAATAGCCTAAAAACAGTAAATTATCACTGGTAATCAAGAGGTGTCTCTGGTTGTTGAAATAGTACTTACTTGTGCTGGGCATATAGCTTCACAGAGCTTGCAAGCAATGCATCTCTCTTCTCCAGAAGGATACCTTCTTAAGGCATGCTCCCCTCTGAACCTGGGACTCAAAGGCCCTTTTTCAAATGGGTAGTTGATAGTGGCTGGTTCCTTGAAAATGTGGGCAAGAGTTACCCCAAAGCCTCTGACAAGTTCAGTAAAGAACATCGTTTGGGCAGCACGATCTAAAAGAGAATTATTTAGCATCCAATTGTAGAGTGAACTGTGAGGAATGCTTACCAGTTATGTCATTGAAATCCATACTAGGTACCTTGTTGTTTACATAGAGGTATCCATCTTTTGGGGGGCTCCCCAAGAGCCTCTGGTGGTGGTGTCCTGGATGATAAGTAGGTCTCACGAATTTTGAGCCTGGAACACAGATTGATGAGCCCAGGTATAGAATTTGAGATAATTAAATTAAATATTATCTCACCCGTTCTAGCAGCCGAAAATATTTTAGAGAAACTGCAGGACATTTTCTTTCTAATGTATAATCTAAAATAATATCGATATTTTGTTGTCGTTATATCATAATGTAAGGTTATGTTGGTGATGTCAGGATGTCGCTGTCAAGTGTCAGTAGTCCAATGTTGCCAAAATCAATTTCACATTGAAGGTAGGATTCAAGTCCACCTCAATACGGACTTATCTATACAGGGTGTTTGGTTCACCGACGTATATACAGTGTGTCCCACTTACCATGCTCACCATGGGTATCTTTTTAACGGTGAGAGATACGAGGTCGGTTAAATGACACCAAATGTGGAGTTTGTCAAGGCCAACTATAATGTGAAAAAATATTTTGATAAAATCTATACGTTTTTGTTTTATACGCAAAAAACAGATTTTGATCATTTTCATGTCTCCTCCGTAACTTCTTTATTTATGATAATATTCAAATAGGAATTTCACATTCTCATGTCAGTTTTTAAAACTGATTTCGAAAAAAATATGAAATTTATACCAACACTTCTAGAATTTGAGATATCAGCACCAACTTTAGTTTTTCAAATGTAGGTCATAGCTCACTATGACTTAGTTACGAATATCTTTTTTTTCTCTTACAGATGATATGTCGCAGTAATAGTTTTGTTTTGATAACATTGGAGTTATCGTCATTTATACAAAAACAAAAAATTATTTGGAAGTCGCCATCTTGAATTTATGAATTTTAACAAAAAAATCATGATCTCCGACCTCATAAGCCCCCACTCACCAATTTTGAATGGAATCGGACCAAATGTTGTACGCCATCTTGGAGCAGCCATTTTTTTTAATTTCAACATAAATTCCATTGTATTGTCACCAATATTATGAACACCTGCCAAATTTCAAGTTAATCGGAGTTATGGAATTTTTGTTGAATTTAAAAAAAATGGCTGCTCCAAGATGGCGGACAACATTTGGTCCGATTCCATTCAAAATTGGTGAGTGGAGGTTTTTGAGGTCGGAGATAATGATTTTTTTTGTTAAAATTTATAAATTCAAGATGGCGACTTCCAAATAATTTTTTGTTTTTGTATAAATGACGATAACTCCGTTGTTATCAACACAAAACTATTACTGCGACATATCATCTGTAATAGAAAAGGAAATTATTCGTAACTGAGTCATAGTGAGCTATGACCTACATTTGAAAAATTAAAGTTGGTGCTGATATCTCAAATTCTAGAAGAGTTGGTATGAATTTCATATTTTTTTCGAAATCACTTTGAAAAACTGCCAGGAGAATGTGAAATTCCTATTCGAATATTCTCATAAATAAAGAAGTTACGGAGGAGACATGAAAATGATCAAAATCTGTTTTTTGCGTATAAAACAAAAACGAATAGATTTTATCAAAATATTTTTTCACATTATAGTTGGCCTTAACAAACTCCACATTTGGTGTCATTTAACCGACCTCGTATCTCTCACCGTTGAAAAGATACCCATGGTGAGCATGGTAAGTGGGACACACTGTATACAGTATAGACCCTTGTGAGGGTTTATACTGTGGTATATCTGGAAGAAGCTGGTAGGTAACGTGATTTTGAACATATTCAATCATATACACGTTTGGCAAGAATAATTATGTGCATGGGCAGATACTTCTGTTGATCCATTTTGCCAATTTCATTTAGGGCTTTCCATCATCTTCATTGTTACAATTTCATTTATTCCTTTGGAATTGGACTGAAGGTCATATACTCTTGTTCCCGAAATGCAAAATAAACATTTCTGTTTATTATCTTGCATTGAAGGATTTTTTTAATGTTCTTGTGGAGGAAGAAAATAATATAGGGAAGGTATACTTCCTCGCACATGTCCAAACTAAATTTTCTACGGAGTCGTTGAAGGGCCACTATGAATATTTTTCATCATTCCAATAAAGCATCTCGGAATTTTTTTATCGCTGAAAGGACTTATCATCTCGGAAATTATTCAATTACGACTTATTATGTCGGAATTCCGACAAATATCGAGCTCAATTTGGAGTAATTATTGACCTTTTCTGTTGTAAACAGACATCAATGAAGAATAATTAAATAAAAATATGTGCTTTTAATTCATTGGTCATACGATATACAATTGACAGTAGAAAAAATATATACAAAATTCAATAAATAATAACATACTACTCTACAAATATTTACATGGAACAATTTTTTTAAAACTCATTCATTACCTACTTTGTACTTGTTGAAAATTATATGCATAAAATAGTTTTTTTTTATATATCAACTGAGTAAGGCGGTTAATGCATCAAAAAACCTCGTCCTGTCTTTAGTATGAATTTCAAAATCTGAAAAACAAAAACAAAATATCATAAAATAGTAACAGAATGAAGAGAAAAATAATACCCACATGAAGTGTCAAAAAAATCACATGTGGCATCACAATTTATTCTTTCTGCTGCCTGTTCAAATGCTTTCCCAAAAAAACTGAAATCAAATAAAAGAAATACAGCCAAACTCAATCAATTTATCATATTTTCAAATAGACAGCAACTGCTGCCAACAAATAGAACAAAATTTCTAACTTTTTCCAACTGAAATATGGTCCTTTATTGGGCCTTTCCAGTATCGTTAAATTTGACCCTTTTCACTATAATGTCATGAAGGGAAGATAAAAACGTTGTCCTGACCACATATTTATCTATGAAATCGAACAACAAATGAAAATTATTTATTATTGAAAATGCTATTTGAATATCTGTGAATTCAAGCTGTTGAGCTGTGACGTCAGTGTCTCCGTGCATTTTGATTGGTTGGAGTTTGTGACGGTTGGGAAGCACTCCGCCATGATTCGAAATTATTATGTAGTAGGAGATTAGTTGATTGGTAATTTAAAGCTGATCACATTCAATTCACTCAGAACTCCGAAATATTCCATTGGTTGCAAGATTAACTAGGATACAAAATGTGATGAAGACATCTAACAGTAAAGATGCTTTTTATATGGTTTAGTTTGAGTTATGATTTTGTTGCCTAATTGTTATAATCACCAAACTAAACAGTGTTACTAGATCTCAAGTACTCATTCCCGGAAAATTTGATGGCTAATATGGCAACTATGTTCACATGAGAAAGAGATGAAGCAACTGGCGCTAAGACAATGTTGCCAAGTTAAAATACCACATTCGCCGCATAACTTCACTGTTCTCATTTCTCAATATTATTGACAAGAAGTAAGACAAGTAAGCAATGTAGTATTGATTGATAAAAAATTGTTTCCTTTCCCTATGGTAGGTAGGTATCAGAGATTAGACAACATGAGTACCTAAACTTGAAAGTACTTTACTGGAAGGGATTTTCAACTGAATGAGATGAATATCCGCAATGAAATTCGTTCATTGAGCTATCTAACAGCATCTGTAATATTTGCTGAAATGAAAAAATCGAGAAATGAATATCCGACTAATCATAGCTGTCTGTCCAAATTGGCATCATTGTCAAGTCCATTATGAAATTTATTGGCACCCGCGAGGAGCTGAGGTTATTACCAATCCAAATTGCTTGCGCACTGACGTCACAAGTTTCGCGGCCATGTCTCATCGTTTGAACTCGCTCGTTCATTTTGACGTTTTCAATATTTTTTTATACGATAAATTGATGGAAAAAAATTATTTTAAGGTATTCCAGAGCAAGATATATTTGTTTTTCTAGAAATGACTGGAAAGGCCCATAAATTTAACTTACTTCTTTGGTGAGTTTTCACCCAACGGTGGTATTCCGAGTAGGATACATGTACCCGTTTCTATATTCTTAGGTGCCGAAACTATCAGAGGTAGAGTTGAGGCTTTGCGATTTCTCGACATAGCAACATATGCTCGCAATAAAAAATGCGATAGCAGTGACAAAATGTGCTGATGGGAGAACATGTACCAATCCAAACATCCCTAAAACATACAAGCATTAATTTTGGGGAAACTGGATATCATCTAGCTCATGCAGTATGATTTTATCTTCAACAATATACCATTGGGAATCGGGAATCGGTCAGACAAAGTTTGGATCAATGAACACTGAACAGACAATATTATAAACAGTGTCCGGAGATAAAACCGACAAAACTTTATGGGTTATAGGGACTGTCAATATGATTGCAAAATGCCATATACAGGGTGTTTCTCAAGTACGTGTAAAAAATTCAGGAGCATGTTGCTGACGTCTAAATATGAAGAAAAGTTCGTATAAACATATGTCCGAAAGTTATCCGTTTCTGAGATACAGAGTGTCAAAGTTGAATTTTTATTGGAAGAGTTCAAAAAAGCAGGTACAAATAAGTAAGAATCATATTTTGCCTACATTCCAATGTTGAATGAAGAAGAATATTGAATGAAAGAAGTAAAATGCACTGGCGTATATTTTCTGATATTCCCTTGAGGCGACTTACGAGCCACATGGAAATAATTCGAATGCATTGATTATTTCGAATCCCAATAACTCGAAAACAGTTGCTCGCAGCGACCTCTACCAAGAATATATTTTTTACACAAAAGTGTTCTAGAAATCTATTTTTTTACTATGAAACGTTATACAGGTACGCACAAAAAAGTTATAACTTTTCAAAAGACTCAAAAGACATGTAGGTGGCGCCACTGCCACGAAAGAGACAAACTAACATAAAATTTGATATTGTCATTGAAAAATACCCCTAGATACCAAATTTCATTCCGATATCACAATTATATTGAAATTTATCAACAAAAAACAAAAATAAGAATTCAACTTTGACACTCTGTGTCTCAGAAACGAATAACTTTCAGACATATATTTATACAAACTTTTCTTCTTATTTTGACGTCAGCAACATGCTCCTGGATTTTCTACACGTACTTGAGAAACACCCTGTATAAATGTCCAAAACCGCTTTGTTACTGACATACAGAGTGATTTATGGATTTTGACATAGGAATCAATCCGCCATATTAAATACAGGGATTACCCGATTGGGTTCAAAATTGGTACATGAATTGAACTCAAAGGCTTCAACAAGTAGCCCTTTGAACGAAACCAATAACAGCACCGGAATATTATTTTTTCCTATGTTCAGTTATTGTGAGAATAACTCATCCTGTATATTTATTATCAAAACTCAGGTCATATTATGAATTTACGGTACGGGAAAAATACTATAGGAGCTTGTTGAGAAAGTTTCTGGCATGATTCACATTACAAAAATTTCATCCGTTTTCGAGATATTTGAGTTTTTGTAGTCAGATACCAGCAGATTAATTCACAATATTTCAGGAGGCCATGATCAATTTTGTTCCTAATTCTGACCTTCTTGATATGATATAGGGTGGTTCAAGATTCAGAATTCTGATCACCTTTTGTATCTGTTCCAATTAAATGTCAGTAGATAGTAAATTCAAAGTAAAGATTGGAACATTGGAGCGGTTTTGATCGATAATGGATAGTTTCACCACAAAAAAATTCTAAAGTTGAAAAATCTAGACCCCAAATGCGATAGATCGATGGAATCAGCTCTTCGAGAGGAGAATCTGAAAATCCAATAAAGTACAGGGTGTTTCATTCAAAATGAGGAAGTTACAAAAAAATCCGGAATAACTGAAAAAGTGGCAACATTGGCTATAACATTTTCAAATCCGCCACGTTTCGAAATCACACTGTACATAAATTCAAAAAAATCTAACAACAGGTTACCGAGATATTCACCTGTTTCCATACATATCAGCGACCCTGTATACATTTTGGGCCATTAGTTTATTATTCAAACTATACTCATTTTTCAATGTACTATCTCCTCCAGAAAGCCCCAATTTTGTTCTATAGTCTCTATAATCAACACTCAGGGTGTTTTAAAAAATGGTCCGGACGCTACCGAAAACTGAAATCTTTTGGATTTTCCATATCACAGTATGAAAATATGTTGATGTCATTTGGATTTTTTTTTTCAATGCATTTAACAGTGTTTTGGCACTAGCAAAATTGAGTATATGGTGGAGGAATGGAAAGTGAATTTTGAAAATCCGAAAAATATACTGGGTGAATCGATAGTCAGAACCTTATTATAAACATATGAGAGTTGACGTATTTTCGATTCCCAAAGAAAAACCCTGTATAATTTCATAACTAACCTCTTGTATAATGTAATATACAAAAGGCCCAGCATTGATGATCTGTTTCATATCCAAAGCACTCTGGACAGTTTTGAACAGTGTTTTGGCTATCACTTTTGCCCTTTCTATAGCCCCATCTAAAACCTCCTTTTTAGACCTTGATAAGCAATCCAAGGCAAGATTGAACAGTTCTTCTGGTTTCTTATCTCTAGGCTAAAATGATTTTAAAAAATTGATATTTATAATTCAGTTCCTCTCACTAAGAAAATGAAGAAAACAAAGATGCATTTTGAAATAATAACTTACTGATGATTCCAGTATTGCCATTAAGGCAAAAACAATATCAGAAGCACAATATTTACTCCTGTATCCATATTGTAATATAAATGATGCATAAACTATATCTTGAAGACCGTATTTTTCAGAAAGTTTTTCTAGAGATTCATGAAATTCTTTCCTCAATTGTAAGTCCATGCTCTTGAAAGCCTGTCTGCTTTGAATGAGGGGAAAACTACAAAAATTCATATCATGAGAAAAAATATCCAAAAGTAGCAATGTACAGTGTGTCCAGTTTTTGAGATACAGGGCGATTTTCGGAAATTTATACTTTTTGGACCCCCTCTATATCTACGAAGTTTCTCAGCGAGTATGTCGAAATAGTATTTTAGCCCATAGAGAATTTTACGCAGGATCCAGTGGCGCACTCAAATTTTTTTTTCGGGATATCCTTTTGGAGATAGGACTCAAACTTATGATTTTTTAAAAGGAACATCCTGTATTTTATCAGCTCATTGAATTCCCTATTTTTTTTCCTTCAAATTGATATATAATGTATAAATATAAAAATCTCAAAAAGCTCCAAAATCACTAAAACATTGAATTTTAAAAGGATTTAATGGATTTTTCAAATGAAAAAGTTCCAATAATTGAAGGAATATTTCCTTTGTTTTTTCCATGAAGAGGACAAAACAATACCAACACCAATTAACTAACAAAATACAAAACTTAGTTACTTGATAGCAACAAATAAATAGTAATAAAAAGTTCATAATTTAGAATCAGCACCTGATTAAATATTTACTGAAACAATTGGATTTCGAAATTATTCAGTAACTCATTCATTGAATTGTTCAAATTGATGTCCATTTTTCCTCACAGACTTTCTCAAAATCATTTTGTTGCACGAAGTTCTTCAAGATTGCTGTGCCTCTTTCTGTATTGAGACGTATTGAGGAAGAGTGTCAATTGTGTGTTAGGGAAAATGGACATCAATTTGAACAATCCAATGAATAAGTTGCTGAATAATTTCAAAATTCAATTGTTTTAGTAAATATTTAATCAGGTGCTTATTCTACGTTATGAACTTTTTATTACAATTTATTTGTTGCTTTCCTTGTACCTAACTTTTGTGTTTTATTAGTTAATTTTAATGTTGATATTGTTTTTGTCCTTTTCATGGAAGAATCGATATAAATATTCCTTCAATTGGAACTGTTTTTATATGAAAAATCCATAGCCCACTATCAAAATTCAATGTTCTAGTGATTTTTGAGCATTTTCGAAAATGTAATATCTATACATCATATATTATTTTGAAGGAAAAAAATACGGAATTCATTGAGCTTATAAAATACAGGGTGTTCCATTTGAAAATTCATAAGTTTGAGTCGCATCTGCAAAACCGTACCCCGAAAAAAAAATTGAGTGCACCACTGGATTCTGCGTAAAATTCCCTATGGAATAAGATCTTAATTTGAGATGTTCGCTAAGAATCTTCGTAGATATAGAGGGGGTTCAAAAAGTATAAATTTTCAAAATCGCCCTGTATCTCATAAACGGAAATAGTTATGCAAAATCTGATTAGGCCATCTTGAGTTTAAAAAAAAAAGGCACAGGACCGCGAAAACCACAAGGTTCTATCTCCAAAGATAACTGAGATATCATGTAAAAGCATTGAAAACTGGACACGCTGTACAGAATAATGCAGTGTTGCCATATTGATGAAAATTAATAAAATTCGGAAATTCGTGACATTTCAAAATATTTTCAAGGAATATTTGTTTCAAATTCCAGTGTTGGAAAACAATAATGCTACTGGCATTTCTTCTTTCTGCTATAATTTTTCAGAGAATTGAAACAAAAGAAAATATTCCTAAAAAAAGTTTTAACTTCAACAAACACAGTTTTAGTAACAAAACTTTTTATCCAGTGGAAAATTTTAACCACATCATAGATAACATACTATGAACAATGAAAAAAACTGGTGTACTCATGAGAAATAGTTATTTATTAAACAAGGGAAAAAAGTAGTAGATTTTGGCTCCAGGTTGTGTTGTCTCCCGACGCGTAGCGGAGGGAGACAAAGAACCGTGAGCTAAAATCTAATATTTTTCCCGTGTATAATACACTATTTTTTTTGTGACAGAAGAAAGGACGAATCAATATTGAGAAGATATTACATTATTTTGAAATCTGAAAATTATCGACGTGAAATTTCAAGTTTTTAACAGTAGGGACACCTGCGTTGTAGGCATCTTTATCATTCTTTCGAAGTAATCAAATATCTTATGTCACTTCTGTCAGTCTAATTCTGTGATATGATTTCAAAAAATTGCGAATTTAGTGGTTATTTAGTGATATACGTAATCGCGAAGTCGAATGGAAGATAAAAGGACTTGCAGTTCTTTCTCGGAGACGGTATTATTGACTCATTTTTCGGAACTATAGGACAACAAAAGCCATCAACAGTGTATACAGTGTGTCCCACTTACCATGCTCACCATGGGTATCTTTTTAACGGTGAGAGATACGAGGTCGGTTAAATGACACCAAATGTGAAGTTTGTCAGGCCAACTATAATGTGAAAAAAATATTTTGATAAAATCTATTTGTTTTTGTTTTATACGCAAAAAACAGATTTTGATAATTTTCATGTCTCCTCCGTAACTTCTTTATTTATGAAAATATTCAAATAGGAATTCCACATTCTCATGACAGTTTTTCAAAGTGATTTCGAAAAAAATATAAAATTTATACCAACTTTTCTAGAATTTGAGATATCAGCACCAACTTTAGTTTTTCAAATGTAGGTCATAGCTCACTATGACTTAGTTACAAATAACTTTTTTTTCTCTCACAGATGATATGTCGCAGTAATAGTTTTGTGTTGATAACAACGGAGTTATCGTCATTTATACAAAAACAAAAAATTATTTGGAAGCCGCCATCTTGAATTTATAAATTTCAACAAAAAAATCATGATCTCCGACCTCGAAAACCCCCACTTACCAATTCTGAATGGAATCGGACCAAATCTTGTCCGCCATCTTGGAGCAGCCATTTTTTTTAATTTCAACAAAAATTCCATAATGTATTGTCACCGAAATGTTCGTAAATCCGGTTCATCAAATTCATATTTTTTTTTAGAAATCACTTTGAAAAACTGCCATGAGAATGTGAAATTCCTATTTGAATGGAGGAGACATGAAAATGATCAAAATCTGTTTTTTGCGTATAGAACAAAAACGAATAGGCGAATTGGCCTTGACAAACTCCACATTTGGTGTCATTTAACCGACCTCGTATCTCTCACCGTTAAAAAGATACCCATGGTGAGCATGGTAAGTGGGACACACTGTATATATGTGATATATATCCGGGAAAAAAGTAATATATGAAAAGTGACATTTTATAACCTGCCAACAGATATGGATTGCCAAACTTTTTTCCCGACACAGAAAAAAAAATTTTTTTCTAAGTAATGATTTTTCACTCTGTCCCCTTCCAAAACAATTTCAATTTTTATGTTTTGCATGGTAAACAACTATCCTATGCAAACATTCACGAATACCATAGTCATTCACCTACTGAAAAAAAATTCAATAAACACCCTTGAGAAATAATGTTTTCCAAAAATGAGCAAAATTTTGATAGGCACACACTCTCTGTCAAATGATTGTTACTCACCCCATGTCAGCCAGTAACTCATTCAACTTTTTATCCCCCTTCAGCGACCACAATTTCATCTTCACTGCCGGGAACATGGAGTACTTCAAACTCGATTCCACCGACCAATGTCTGTACAGGGTGAGTCTCAAGTCTTTCTCGAATGTGATTTTCAGTGATGTCAGTACGTCAGTGTCATTGGTTCTGTTGTGCAGTCTAGTGGCATGTGACTGAAGGGGGCCCACCTCTAAGGTGTACTGGGAGTCCTCTATCTTGCCTAGAAGCATTTGTTCCGTCAAAGCAATTATGGCCAGCCAAAGTAGGTCTTTGTCGTCTTTGTTCAGCTTCCAGGCAAGATCAAATATTCTAATGGCACTCTAAAAACAAATTTACATCAGCCACAATGATTAATCAATTCCCCAAGTTTTGATCGTCAAATTACAAATTGGATACCCAAAAGGCCACGGACTGAGGTCCTTAAACTCCTTAAGCCTGTGTTACACAGTGATTATACATTGAGTTTAAATTCATTATTGTATGTACAGGGTGATCAGTTAAGGGTAGCGAGCGGTCATACAGGGTGGCCCACTTATGCTCGCTCGGACCATAGCTGCTAGGCTGATAGAGATAGAAAGAAAATTTCATCGGAAGTTATTGAAGACTTCATAAGCTACTCTTCAAAATTATTTTCTAGTACACAGGGTGCACCATGAATCCGGGGTGAAAGAATCGATCGTTTTTTTAAATGGCATACCCTGTATATTATTTCATTTTCGGAATCTCTCTCATGTGGGCTTCACAAACCTATTTTGTTTTCGAAGATCAGATGCGACGTTGTCAAGTTATTAACATTTTAATCAAATTTGACGAGAAAACATGAATGTTGGAAATTATTCAGGGAAACTATATTTTCGAAGATTAATGAACAAAACTGGGTATACATATACTGAAAGTATGTGTAGAAACTCAGACATTATTTTGGTTCACTCGAAATATACATGGTGTTTTAAATTAAGGACCTAATTTCGCTATTTCCAAATCGCCGAAACTCATTTTTTCCAAATGGATCACCCTGTATATCATTTCATAATTTGAAAGCTCATCCAATGGGCTTTTCGGTGATACCATATAGACCGTATCCAACGATACTCTTCGATAGGTAAATAACGATAAATCAATTCAACTGTACATTTTTATTCAAAAACAATAACAAACATCAAACATTCAACTGACAATGAGAAATGTTCAAACTCATGGAACATATCAGTTCATTTTTGAGCTCGATGTTTAATCGAATTCCTTACTTTTGACAACATTTCTGGTGTTATATTTGCAAAAGTTTCCCTTATCCTCATCTTCATGTTTTTTCCGTTGTTACTTCGGTTGAAATATAATTAATGAATCTTGTTGTAGAAACTGTCAAGATGTTTTCAGTGATTGCTTTTCATTCATCTCGGAAGAGTAATAAACAATAATTATCCACGTGAATTGAGCTATCTAAATAAAACAATCAAAGATTGACTTCGAAAAACATATTCAATGAAAAAAGACACTTCAAGCACCTCATCGAAGAGGATTTCTTTCAAATTCAATCCATTCAAATACTTTGAATCATAAATATTTTCAATATACGTTCGTAAATGTTTTTGATTGAAAAAAGTATGATTTCGTTGTTATTCGCCTATCGAAGAGTAACGTTGGATACGGTCTATATGGTATCACCAAAAAGCCTATTTGATGAGGTTTCAGATTATGAAATAATATACAGGGTGATCCATTTGAAAAAAATGACTTTCGGCGATTTGAAAATAGCGAAATTCGGTCCTTATTTTAAAACACCCTGTATATTTTGAGTGAACCCAAATAATGTCTGAGTTTCTACACATACTTTTGGTATCTGTATACCCAGTTTTGTTCATAAATCTTCCAAAATAAAGTTTTCCTGAATATTTTTCAACATTCATGTTTTCTCGTCAAATTTGATCAAAATGTTAATAACTTGACAACGTCGCATCTGATCTTCAAAAACAAAATAGTTTTTTGTGAAGCCCACATGAGAGATATTTCGAAAATGAAATAATATACAGGGTGTGCCATTTAAAAAAACGATCGATTCTTTCACCCCGGATTCATGATGCACCCTGTATAATAAAAAATAATTTTGAAGAGTAGCTTATGAAGTCTCCAATAACTTCCGATGAAATTCTTTTTCTATCTCTATCAGCCTAGCAGCTATGGTCCGAGCGAGCATAAGTGGGCCACCCTGTATCTCATAAGATATTGGTCGTATAGATTTGAGAAAAAAAAATCATAATGAAAGTCGCCAAGAGAAATTGCTGGAAATTATTTTCGAGTTTGTCAAACCTCCGCTAGAGGGCGTAACAACCAACACCAAGTAGAAACATGGGATTTTCATAAAATTTTGTTCAATGAAAGTATATCGATGATATCATTTTCATATTGAATGACCATTTCCCTACATTTTTTGTCTGAAACGTTTTGTTCTATCTATCAATATGAAGCGGTGGGGGAAGTTCAATTTTTTTTTTAAACAAACCAAGATTTCTCCTGTTTATTCCGACCGATTTTAGCACACTTAGGCTCATATGAAAGAGCATAATTTGCTCTACAAAACGCTCATTTGGTTTTGAATTTTTGACTTTTGCTGTCGCCGCTAGATGGCGTTAACTGAAATGTTAGCAAACTTTTGAGTTAAAAAAAAACAAATGTAATGGTATATTAATTTTTATATGTTTTGAAAGAGGATAAATTTCTCTATAATTTACTGAAAATAATTTATCTTCTTCCTTTTTTTGAACCGTTGATATTGACCAAAATATAATTTTATTACATTAAAAAATGGCACGCCACTGCTTTTTATCGAAATAAAAATCAGTTTTTTAATCTCTTATTAGTTGCTAACAACGATTTTTTTTTAAAGTTCAACACACTGTATTTTGAAAAATATGCATTTCCGGACCTACGTATATATGGAAGAAATTTCATGTTTCCTCATGCAGAATCACCCCCTTGATTTTTTGCGCATAATTTCCGGATACCCTGTATATGGAAAGGTCAGAATTTAGTACATTAAAATAACCCAAAGAATTTCAAGGGGAATCACTAAAAAAATACAAGGTTCAATGATACATTCCCAGGAATTTCAGAGATTTTAAAGGTATTTCAAGAAATTTCAAAAAATGAGAACCATAGAGAAATTATAGCGATAATGTGTATACAGGGTATAATTTGATTGATGGCTTATAATAGAGGATATGAACATATGCCCAAACTATCTTACCTCTCAAGCTATAGGATGTTAAAATTTCAAGAAACAATTTAATTTCTTAACATAACTTTGATGTTCTAGATATTTTTATGAAATTCGACATGCACCTACTAAGCACCAATAAGCATTTTTTGGTGCAGGAACTTCTTCAATAATTCTACCAGTGACGTCCGTATGGGATGTATACTGGAGATTTTTCTAGAAAGATATTGCACGCCAATGATGTTTCCGAAAATAAATATCATTTTTGACATCCTCATTTATGACAGTTTTATACATTGTGAAATTTGTGGAAAAATCGAGATTTTTCAACTTTAGAAATTTTTTGTGTTGAAACTATTCATAATTGATCAAAACGGTTTTCATGTCCCTATCAATTGATATTTTTTGAAATACATACAGGGTGGTCAAAAATCTTAATTCTGAAACACCCTGTATTTATTTCAATTAATAGATACAGGGTGGTCAAACATCTTAATTCTGAAACACCCTGTATTCATTTCAATTAAATATCAATTGATAGTACAAGAAAAGTTAAGATAGGAACATGAAAACAAGTTTGATCAACTATGAATAGTTTCAACACAAAAAATTCCTAAAGTTGAAAAATCTTGATTTTTCATATCCTATAACTCTGTTATTATTATTGCTAGACCCCAAGTATTATATGTCAATGAAATCGTCTCTCCAGGAAGAATCTGAAAATGGAATAATATACAGGGTGCCCCATATAAAAAAAATCAAAGTTGTTGCTACTTTTCAATATAAGCGGCAACGTCGCAATGCTGAGAATATTTTAGGTCAATAGAACACAAGTTTTATCCAAGGCACCAATTTTTCAGAAGAATCCTGAGATGTTCTCCAGAAACGTCTAATGTTTTATCCACCGTGAATCAGCCTGTATACAGGGTGTCCGCTAAAAGGAGGTCAATCCATTAACCATATATTCCTTGAACAAAAATAATATGAGTTTCTTAATACCATTTTTCATTTTAGCCCTTCTTATTCGATATACAGGGTGTCAAAGTTGAAAATTAAAAACTGTTTTTTTCTAATTACTCGCGTAATTAATAAGATATTAATCTCAAAATAGGTACATTACTTCAGCACAAAGAGTTACATCGTGTGAGGAAAACAAAACAGAAAATAACTGTCAAATATTCAAAATACTGGGGGTCAAGTACACACTTACCCCCATATTTTTTTTGTACGTGCGCTAATGACTTCCTATCTATTTTTCTTCATGTGTTCAATCATTTTTGAGTATTTTTTGATTTCTGTAAAATTCCGATAAAATTATTTGTTTTTAAGATAATTCGAAAAGTACTGGTTATTGTTTGATGCCTTGCGGCTTACGGTAATCTCATAATGTTCACATACTCCTATTTATTTCGTAGAAATTGGAAGAGGGCGTATCTTATTACGTACGGAAAGGTGAATATGGAAATACCGGGTGCTCAGAGCGAATGTATTAAAATAATTTTTACACTTTTTAAATTTTTTTTTTGTAAAAATTATTTTAGTACATTTGCTCCGAGCACCCGGTATTTCCATATTTACCTTTTCGTACGTAAAAAGATAAGCCCTCTTTCAATTTCGACGAAATAAATAGGAGTATGTGAACATTATGAGACTACCTAAGCCGCATAGGCATCAAACAATAACCAGTACTTTTCGAATTATCTTAAAAACAAATGATTCAATCGAAATTTTACAGGAAACAAAAAATACTCAAAAATGATCGAACACTTGAAGGAAAATAGATAGAAAGTCATTAGCGCACGTACAAACAAAATATGGGGGTAAGTGTGAACTTGACCCCCAGTATCTTGAATATTTGACAGTTATTTTCTGTTTTGTTTTCCTCACACGATGTAACTCTTTGTGCTGAATAATGTACCAATTTTGAGATTAATATCTTATCAAATACGCGAGTAAATAGAAAAAAACAGTTTTTTATTTCCAACTTTGACACCCTGTATACCGAATATGAAGGGCTAAAATAAAAAATGATATTTAGAAACTCATATTGTTTTTGTTCAAGGAATATATGGTTAATGGATTGACCTCCTTTTAGCGGACACCCTGTATACCTGCCTATGGTGGTAGCTGCAGGTGATATGAATAAATTCTATATGTGTTAAACAGTGGGGAAACACCCCACCAGTCCCTGCCAATGGAATTCTCCATTATAGAAATCTCATTAAACAAACAAACTCCCAAGCAGAATTCAAGATTTCATTGTTTGTATGCATGGAAATATGGACATAATATATTTATATAATTCCACAGAATGCAGAGACATAATAATTCAAAAGCATGCAGAGAAATTCAAGAGTAGACATTTCAATAAACAAACTGCAATTCCTAGAAATTCCAATGACCTGAAAGTTTTAAACTTTTGAAGTTCTATCCATAACTTATTGTGAAGGTCCACCAAATTTAATATTCTAGAAAAATGTCAAGAAATTATCAGGAAACTACAAGGATTCTCAAGAAATTTCAATTCTATTGGTACCCTAGGGAAACATATGGAATTTTGAGGAATTACAAAAATCTGGGGAATTTGATAAAATTCTGGAAGAAAACAAAATGAGGAAGAGAAATTTAAAAAATTCTATGGAACAATAAACACCCACTGAGTATAATTCAAAAATATTGAATACTGAATGTCCAGTGAATAAGGTAAGAAATTACAGTATTTACAATGATTCAATAATTTGTAGAAATCTGATGATCACCAAACCTTAATAATTTTTTTGGGAGAATTTCAAGACATCCAGAGAATTATAGATAATTTCACAGACTGCCAAAGTAGTCCATTGTGTGTAGGTTAGAACTTACAGCTCTTGCATAATATGTGAATTGGGAATACTCAAATAACAACTTATTGCGATTATCTTCCCACAGTCTTCTCTCCCTCCTCTTAACAATCTCCTCTTCCCCTAACCTTCTTCTTTTAGCAGCTCTGGTTTCACCATCACTATCATCCACTTCCTCTTCATCATCCTCCTCATCAGACTAAAAACAAATAATATCAGCCATTCCTCATTCAACTGATCATTTGACTTGCCTACCTCTTCCTTAAAAACATCATGAAAATCAGGTACTGCAACATCTTCTTCAGCAGTGGACAACAACCTGACTTGTCCATTACTGTAAATATTGCACAAATCTGTGGGCCTGTGGCTATCTAAAATGAAGAAAGTGATGTCTTCTTCAGCCTCTAGTTCTTCTACTATGTCTACGGTTCCTCCACAGTTGATCAGCACGAAGTATTTCACGTCATTGCAATTTTCCCGATATGCCGTTTTGAGATCTTCAATGCCCCTCACCACAGAAAGCGTGTACAATATGTGCTTGTATCTCAGTAAGGACTGGAGAATTTTGCAAGCGCATATGCTGTCGATGTCGTAGTGGATTATTAGAAATATTCTCTGAAAGAAACGATTATTCCTGTAGTCAAAGAAAACCCCCCACAAAGTTGGCCATGGTTTGAATTTCTTATCCAGCATGAGAACGTAGAGAATCCATTTTAGGTGGAAAGTGTTTAGAAGTTTTTGTGATGTGTTAACGAACTCACCTTTCCTGATAAAAATTCATAAAAATCCTGCTTTATATCGTCCACATACATCGTAATCAAGAAAAAGGCACCCTACACAAACATCATAACCTTTTGTTTAGATAACCGCCAAAAACAGAAAAACAGCTGAACTGAAGTGACGCCTGAAACTGAAATGTCAACTTCAGAGATCGCCAGAACGGTTATGGTTATTCCCGGTTATACCAATTCCCAGTGATCAATAAATTCAAAATTTAAATAATAGGACTGAACAATCATCAATGATATCTCTGATTCGCGGAACAAGAACGACATATTTCTGGAAGTATTTATTATTCTGGTACAAAATCCAATCCTCCAACGTTCCCTTGAATTTTGAATTTACCCACTTTACGATTCCAGCACAACCAACATCAACAGTTTCCGAAAAAAAAAAACCCTACGAACAACGTGCGTTTGTTTTGACTAGTTTTGAGCATATGTTTTGAGACATCGTGGTTTTGAGGTTAAGGTCGTCTGTCAAGTACTCAAGTGTGTCGTCGACCAAAGATCTTTTTTGATTCTTCGCTGTTATGTTTATTGTTTATTTACAAATAGCTTTGAAAATACTACTTGTTATAATATAAAATATAATAGCTACATTGATAATATGTCACGACCTGAATACCTGGCACCGCCAGAAATAGTAAGTATCAATCATGTTTTTGTTTTTGAATACAATTTAACTGTTCTTTTATATACCTCCTGCAGTTCTATGGGGAAGATGAAGCAAGGAAATACACTCAAAAGTAAATAATCCTTATCTCATAATACAATATTTGGTCATTCTTAATTATTCCATTGCAGCTCAAGAATCATTGATATTCAAGTTCAGATGTGTGAACGAGCTATAGAATTGCTGGTTCTACCAGAAGATACACCATGTTACCTTCTAGATATAGGTTGTGGGTCTGGATTGAGTGGAAGTGTACTTGAAGATCAGGGCCATCATTGGGTTGGTTTAGATATAGCAACAGCAATGTTGGGTAATGACCAACTGAAACTCACAGTTTAGTACTTACTTATCTTGATTTTTAGACATTGCACTTGAGAGGGAGGTTGAAGGGGATCTGCTTTTATCAGACATGGGTCATGGTTGTCCTTTTAGGGCAGGTATGCATTTTATTCTTTCAAATTTCTACAATTGGCCAGTGGACTAAGATTTTTTTATTTCTAAAATAAAATCATCACTCAAATACCTTTCCATATCATATTCTTTTGAATTTTTTGGTCGACTTTTAGGTGCTTGAATCATCAATAATGCCAGGGCAATTTTCAAAGGGATATAAATTTACCATGAGTAAAAACATTAATAAATTCTCAATTATGTATTGGCAATATTCCTCTTTAGCAATACAAAATCAATTGTCTCAAAATTTTCCCTTATGATTTGTGACTTATTGCTTATACAAATACTACAATACATTTGTGTTAAAGGGGTTTCACACAGGGTTGATAGTGACGTCAATATGTCAACACATACAGTGTTGCCAGTTAAAAGGAAATGACTGAATGACCAACCGCCCGAATATGGATATGTCTAGTGCTACGATCGTCGGACGTTATAATGTTTTTTGGAACCAACTCGAAAGCCGTCCATTTATATTTCAAAATCAGCACATGAAGTTGATAATTAAATGAATCATGAACCTGAATAATATACTGAATATGAAATTTAATGATAATGAAATTCTTATAAAGAATAATAACTTGAAGAATGATTTATTATATAACAACATCAACAAACAATCACAGATATTGACATTAAAAATAACTTATTTTTCTACCAATACACAATTATGTCTTGAATTATTTTTTTTTTTAATAAAACTGATCAGTATTCACATTTACTGAGTGAAAATAATAAAAACTTCGAATTCAATTTTGAGGTTATCTAATCGTTTCGAATGTTTTTCAATTACTATAAATTGGTGAAATGAAATAGAAATTCGATCAATTGATTTTATTTCGTGGGAAATAAATTGCCAGTAATGAATAATACCCAGAGATCAGCTGATCACAACAAATCGCTTCTAGAAATGTCAAATAAATCCGGCATTGGTGTACAGTTTTGCCTTAAATCGATAACGCGGTTCGCCCATTTCGAAAGTTACTAGTATTTTTCGATGTGCAGTTTTGGCACGACATTGTTACCAAGTATTGTGCGTGAAAGCCCTCTAGTAGTAATTTATTATATTAATTAACACTAGAGGACATTTGAAGCAGTGAACGTGACAACACCGCGCGCACGACTTGTGGGCGTGGTCATGTCATTTCTCAGCATTCAGCACAATGTTGCCTAGCCTCCAACATTTACATAAAATTTTGTTATTAGAAATATTTGTACATGGTGGCAGCTGAAAAGAGTTAAGAATGAGCTATAATATCATGAGTTCCTTCTATTATGTTTTATTCAACGACAGGACTCTTACATCTTTTTGATAACTTGATTATAATTGGTGACTTGACGACCTTGCTTCATGAGTTGGAATGGAAGATTATCTGACCAATAATGAAACAGCATAAAAGCTGACGTCACCATTTATTCGACGTATCGCCAAATAGTGGCCATGAAATTGGCTCCGAAATTCAACAATTACATTGAAAAACTCCACTGGCCCATTCTGTCTACCTTTTATATTCCCTTTGATAATGAATTTCATAAAATGTATGTTGATGAATAAAACTATAATGAATCATTAAACACAAGTGATGGTATCATGAATAAGGAGTTATTGTAATTTAAAGGGGCCTTTGATGGTGCTGTTAGTATATCTGCTCTTCAATGGCTGTGCAATGCTGATAAATCTTTCCACAGACCTGTCCAAAGGTTATACAAATTCTTCAGCTCACTATATGCTTGCTTAGTAAGTAGCTGTTCTATCCTTAAAAACATATAATTTTCTGAGAATCACATCTTTTAGAGTCGATCTGCTAGGGCTGTTTTGCAATTTTATCCTGAAAATAGTGAGCAAATGGAACTGGTTACTGCCCAAGCTATGAAAGCTGGGTTTTATGGTGGTGTTGTAGTTGATTACCCTAACAGTACCAAGGCAAAAAAGTTTTTTCTGGTGCTGATGACTGGTGGGAGTGTGCCGTTACCAAAGGCTCTCGGCACTGGTGAAGATTCACAAGGTAGATATGGATATATTTATTCAGAGCAACTTTTATTTTATTAGTAGGTCCTAGGAAAAAAATCGAACTTTTTTCAGAGCAAAGTTAGCTCAATTCTGTTTTCACCATTGACTTTTTTGGATCGAAAAACTGCCTAATTAGGTCACAGAACCAAAATGGAAGCGATATCTAGACAGATCGCAAACATATAGATTTCAGTTAAGGAAATTGATTAGTAGGTCCTAGGAAAAAAATCGAACTTTTTTCAGAGCAAAGATAGCTCAATTCTGTTCTCTAGTAGGTCCTAGGAAAAAAATCGAACTTTTTTCAGAGCAAAGATAGCTCAATTCTGTTTTCACCATTGACTTTTTTGGGTCGAAAAACTGCCTATTCAGGTCACAGAACCAAAATGGAAGCGATATCTAGACAGATCGCAAACATATAGATTTCTGTTAAGGAAATTGATTGATAGGTCCTAGGAAAAAAATCGAACTTTTTTCAGAGCAAACATAGCTCAATTCTGTTTTCACCATTGACTTTTTCGGGTCGAAAAACTGCCTAATTAGGTCACAAATCCAAAATGGAAGCGATATCTAGACAGATCGCGAACATATAGATTTTAGTTAAGGAAATTGATTAGTAGGTCCTAGGAAAAAAATCGAACTTTTTTCAGAGCAAAGATAGCTCAATTCTGTTTTCACCATTGACTTTTTTAGGTCGAAAAACTGCCTAATTAGGTCACAAAACCAAAATGGAAGCGATATCTAGACAGATCGCAAACATATAGATTTCAGTTGAGGAAATTGATTAGTAGGTCCTAGGAAAAAAATCGAACTTTTTTCAGAGCAAAGATAGCTCAATTCTGTTTTCACCATTGACTTTTTTAGGTCGAAAAACTGCCTAATTAGGTCACAAAACCAAAATGGAAGCGATATCTAGACAGATCGCAAACATATAGATTTCAGTTGAGGAAATTGATTAGTAGGTCCTAGGAAAAAATCGAACTTTTTTCAGAGCAAAGATAGCTCAATTCTGTTTTCACCATTGACTTTTTTGGGTCGAAAAACTGCCTATTTAGGTCACAGAACCAAAATGGAAGCGATATCTAGACAGATCGCAAACATATAGATTTCAGTTAAGGAAATTGATTAGTAGGTCCTAGGAAAAAAATCGAACTTTTTTCAGAGCAAAGATAGCTCAATTCTGTTTTCACCATTGACTTTTTTGGGTCGAAAAACTGCCTAATTAGGTCACAGAACCAAAATGGAAGCGATATCTAGACAGATCGCAAACATATAGATTTCAGTTAAGGAAATTGATTAGTAGGTCCTAGGAAAAAAATCGAACTTTTTTCAGAGCAAAGATAGCTAGCTCAATTCTGTTTTCACCATTGACTTTTTCAGGTCGAAAAACTGCCTAATTAGGTCACAAAACCAAAATGGAAGCGATATCTAGACAGATCGCAAACATATAGATTTCAGTTAAGGAAATTGATCAGTAGGTCCTAGGAAAAAAATCGAACTTTTTTCAGAGCAAAGATAGCTCAATTCTGTTTTCACCATTGACTTTTTCAGGTCGAAAAACTGCCTAATTAGGCCACAAAACCAATATGGAAGCGATATCTAGACAGATCGCAAACATATAGATTTTAGTTAAGGAAATTGATTAGTAGGTCCTAGGAAAAAAATCGAACTTTTTTCAGAGCAAAGATAGCTCAATTCTGTTTTCACCATTGACTTTTTTAGGTCGAAAAACTGCCTAATTAGGTCACAGAACCAAAATGGAAGCGTTATCGAGACATATGGCAAACATATAGATTTCAGTTAAGGAAATTGATTAGTAGGTCCTAGGAAAAAAACCGAACTTTTTTCAGAGCAAAGATAGCTTAATTCTTATTTCGCCATTGACTTTTTTAGGTCGAAAAACTGCCTAATTAGGTCACAGAACCAAAATGGAAGCGATATCTAGACAGATCGCAAACATATAGATTTCAGTTAAGGAAATTGATTAGTAGGTCCTAGGAAAAAAATCGAACTTTTTTCAGAGCAGAGATAGCTCAATTCTGTTTTCACCATTGACTTTTTTGGGTCGAAAAACTGCCTAACTAGGTCACAGAACCAAAATGGAAGCGATATCTAGACAGATCGCAAACATATAGATTTCAGTTAAGGAAATTGATTAGTAGGTCCTAGGATAAAAATCGAACTTTTTTCAGAGCAAAGATAGCTCAATTCTGTTTTCACCATTGACTTTTTCAGGTCGAAAAAACTGCCTAATTAGGCCACAAAACCAAAATGGAAGCGATATCTAGACAGATCGCAAACATATAGATTTCAGTTAAGGAAATTGATTAGTAGGTCCTAGGAAAAAAACCGCACTTTTTTCAGAGCAAAGATAGTTCAATTCTGTTTTCACCATTGACTTTTTTGGGTAGAAAAACTGCCTAATTAGGTCACAGAACCAAAATGGAAGCGATATCTAGACAGATCGCAAACATATAGATTTCAGTTAAGGAAATTGATTTGTAGGTCCTAGGAAAAAATTCGAACTTTTTTCAGAGCAAAGATAGCTAGCTCAATTCTGTTTTCACCATTGACTTTTTTAGGTCGACAAACTGCCTAATTAGGTCACAAAACCAAAATGGAAGCGATATCTAGACAGATCGCAAACATATAGATTCCAGTTAAGGAAATTGATTAGTAGGTCCTAGGAAAAAAATCGAACTTTTTTCAGAGCAAAGATAGCTCAATTCTTTTTTCGCCATTGACTTTTTTAGGTCGACAAACTGCCTAATTAGGTCACAAAACCAAAATGGAAGCGATATCTAGACAGATCGCAAACATATAGATTCCAATTAAGGAAATTGATTAGTAGGTCCTAGGAAAAAAATCGAACTTTTTTCAGAGCAAAGATAGCTCAATTCTTTTTTCGCCATTGACTTTTTCAGGTCGAAAAACTGCCTAATTAGGTCACAAAACCAAAATGGAAGCGATATCTAGACAGATCGCAAACATATAGATTCCAGTTAAGGAAATTGATTAGTAGGTCCTAGGAAAAAAATCGAACTTTTTTCAGAGCAAAGATAGCTCAATTCTGTTTTCACCATTGACTTTTTCGGGTCGAAAAACTGCCTAATTAGGTCACAAAACCAAAATGGAAGCGATATCTAGACAGATCGCGAACATATAGATTTTAGTTAAGGAAATTGATTAGTAGGTCCTAGGAAAAAAATCGAACTTTTTTCAGAGCAAAGATAGCTCAATTCTGTTTTCACCATTGACTTTTTTAGGTCGAAAAACTGCCTAATTAGGTCACAAAACCAAAATGGAAGCGATATCTAGACAGATCGCAAACATATAGATTCCAGTTAAGGAAATTGATTAGTAGGTCCTAGGAAAAAAATCGAACTTTTTTCAGAGCAAAGATAGCTCAATTCTTTTTTCGCCATTGACTTTTTTAGGTCGACAAACTGCCTAATTAGGTCACAAAACCAAAATGGAAGCGATATCTAGACAGATCGCAAACATATAGATTCCAGTTAAGGAAATTGATTAGTAGGTCCTAGGAAAAAAATCGAACTTTTTTCAGAGCAAAGATAGCTCAATTCTGTTTTCACCATTGACTTTTTTGGGTCGAAAAACTGCCTATTTAGGTCACAGAACCAAAATGGAAGCGATATCTAGACAGATCGCAAACATATAGATTTCAGTTAAGGAAATTGATTTGTAGGTCCTAGGAAAAAATTCGAACTTTTTTCAGAGCAAAGATAGCTAGCTCAATTCTGTTTTCACCATTGACTTTTTTAGGTCGAAAAACTGCCTAATTAGGTCACCAAACCAAAATGGAAGCGATATCTAGACAGATCGCAAACATATAGATTTCAGTTGAGGAAATTGATTAGTAGGTCCTAGGAAAAAAATCGAACTTTTTTCAGAGCAAAGATAGATAGCTCAATTCTGTTTTCACCATTGACTTTTTTAGGTCGAAAAACTGCCTAATTAGGTCACAAAACCAAAATGGAAGCGATATCGAGACAGATCGCAAACATATAGATTTCAGTTAAGGAAATTGATTTGTAGGTCCTAGGAAAAAATTCGAACTTTTTTCAGAGCAAAGATAGCTAGCTCAATTCTGTTTTCACCATTGACTTTTTTAGGTCGAAAAACTGCCTAATTAGGTCACAAAACCAAAATGGAAGCGATATCTAGACAGATCGCAAACATATAGATTTCAGTTAAGGAAATTGATTTGTAGGTCCTAGGAAAAAATTCGAACTTTTTTCAGAGCAAAGATAGCTAGCTCAATTCTGTTTTCACCATTGACTTTTTTAGGTCGAAAAACTGCCTAATTAGGTCACAAAACCAAAATGGAAGCGATATCGAGACAGATCGCAAACATATAGATTTCAGTTAAGGAAATTGATTAGTAGGTCCTAGGAAAAAAATCGAACTTTTTTCAGAGCAGAGATAGCTCAATTCTGTTTTCACCATTGACTTTTTTGGGTCGAAAAACTGCCTAATTAGGTCACAAAACCAAAATGGAAGCGATATCTAGACAGATCGCAAACATATAGATTTCAGTTGAGGAAATTGATTAGTAGGTCCTAGGAAAAAAATCGAACTTTTTTCAGAGCAAAGATAGATAGCTCAATTCTGTTTTCACCATTGACTTTTTTAGGTCGAAAAACTGCCTAATTAGGTCACAAAACCAAAATGGAAGCGATATCGAGACAGATCGCAAACATATAGATTTCAGTTAAGGAAATTGATTTGTAGGTCCTAGGAAAAAATTCGAACTTTTTTCAGAGCAAAGATAGCTAGCTCAATTCTGTTTTCACCATTGACTTTTTTAGGTCGAAAAACTGCCTAATTAGGTCACAAAACCAAAATGGAAGCGATATCTAGACAGATCGCAAACATATAGATTTCAGTTAAGGAAATTGATTTGTAGGTCCTAGGAAAAAATTCGAACTTTTTTCAGAGCAAAGATAGCTAGCTCAATTCTGTTTTCACCATTGACTT